TGCAAAGTTTGAGGAGCTTGCCGTTGAAGTTTCAGAAGCAATGAAGATGTGCGAATTCAGCTCTCAGCTGGAAAAGCTCATTGTCAACGACGAGCTTGAAGAGGACTCTGATGTTGAATTGGGCGGGCTTTTGGACTTGGTTCACTGAATAAAATTGTATTGATTTTTGTATTGAAAAATAGCAATATATATAACCATCGTTTGTTGCAAGCTTTTCGGAATATCAGTATTTCTGCTTGTTGCAAGTATTTCGGGACAGAGGTAGTATAACGTTACACGCACATTGAAATCTTCAGTAAATCGCGATTTATGTCAGATAAAAAATACACCACGACGTCGGAGATTGATTCCCATGAAGTGTACCTCCAAGTTAAATCGCTACCAATACAGCCGGTGAGCTTGAATTTGCCAACATATAGAAGTATGGTTGAATTGTCCCAGAATGAGTCATCGGAAATACTTATACGCGCACTGCGTAATATACTTTCCAAATATCAAAAGAAGCATTCAAAATGGAAACAAATTATATGTGGGGTTTGGCCAATGAGTAGGCAACGTTGTGGCGCGAACCATGACAAAATTGGTCAACTCCCTATCATGCCAAGGGGTCCCAAGCTCACAGGCATCGAAATGGGCCAAATTTTGGCCTGTAAGCACGAGAAGATATCCAATCGTGAGATTGGACGTCGGCTCAAACAGCCTGAGTCATTAGTGCGTTCGTACCTGAAGTCCCCGGGCACGTACCGTACGAAGAAGCGGTCGTGAACGCGCGAGAAGTTGACGAAGCGTGACATTCACCGCATTTACCTCAACGTAATCGTACGAAACTTGTCACAGCTCAAAGCGCCAAGACACTATGGGTGACTACCCGCACTGAGCTCAACATCCTGAAATCGAGCAAGTTCATCAAATACGCGAAGAAGCCGGCGCCGTATCTGAAGCCGCATCAGAAGAAGGAGGGTCGTACTTTCGCTGCAAAGCACATGGCGAAGCTGGATTTTTGGTGTCAAGTTGCCTGGACAAAAAATATTCAACTTGGACGGCCCGGATGGACACCGCGTGTACTGGCGTGACCTCCATGATGACGAAAAATTGTTCTTGAGGCGGGTCAGCGGAGGCAGCGTAATGGTTGAGCTTGTGCGGGAAGTCTAATATCGCATTCCTTAAAGGACAACAAAGCTCGGGAAAGTATTGCAAGACGCTGGAGACGTGCCTGTTCCCCCTTTTGGACGAAGTTCAATAAATGGTGTCTCCAAGACCAAATTGCTGTGTTCCAACAAGGCAATGCATCTATACACGCTTCCAAGGAGACGAAGATGTTCCTTGTGGACTCGGGCGTCTTCCTCATGGACTGGCCTAGCAAGAGCCCTGATTCGAAAGTTATTGAGAACATGTGGGGTATTCTAGCCCGCATTGTTTACGAGGGTGGGCAACAATTTGACAATGTGTCTGATTTGAAGCGGCAAATTGCTTTTTCGTGGAAAATGATAGGTACTCGAAAAATTGGATCGTAGAAGTCCTCACTCCAGCGAAACTTGTCAGAGCACACACGCCAGAACTTGGTGAGTCTCCCGAACTAGATCTCCACCATGATGCGGTCGCTCGCAATGCGCTTGTTTCGTCGCTCATCGTCCAGGGAAAGGTGCTGCCGAGGCTTTGCTTTCGTGGGGATCACCGCTCGCACATGCTCCAGCAATCCTTGGTACCCTTTGTCCGCGAAAATGAAAATGAATGCACCACTCATTTTCGAAGTCGTCTCTGTAGGGACCATTGTCTTCGAGCTCATCCTCGGTTGATCGTTTTTTCAATTCACGGTAGTGGAAGTCAACATTATCTCGGAAAACTTGTATGTCGGCTGTAGCGCCGCGATGGTGTCTACTACGTCCAATTGCAAGTCCATTGGGTAGGACTGATACCTCAACTTTGAAACCGTAGAGGCCATGTTTGCGGCTGAAGAATGGTTTTGACTCTTGCAAGCTTCCAGTTGGATGAAAAGATTGCTGAAAGGTCACATCGACACTATATATTGCCGACGGAAAATGCAAAAAAGTATTTCCCGAGGTGATCAATTTTCTCATTGATATTTTTGGGCAGCCTAAAAATATATTAGCCAATCAAATCATTTTGTAAAAAATACCTGAACAACAAAGCATTCGTGTAATATCGGCTCCAGCAATCCAAGGAAACGAACGATCATGCGCTCAAAAGACGCGCCCTTTATTCCAAAGAGCGACCCCAAAAAGACCTACGCTCCACCATTTTTTAGTGTCACCATCGTCATAAACAACACGTCCTTGCCCCCGTTCACACACTTTGCAGCACGTCCAACATTCCAATGCTGCTCGATGTTATCGCGCACGGTTTGCCAAATTGCGTTGAACTCGCGGACGGATGTTCCTGATATGGCTTTTCCTAGAATGAATAATACTACTCTGGTCCATAATCTTTGTCCACTTGTTTTGACTTAATTAAAGTATGCCGGGTACTTTCAGAACATCTTGAATATTGTATTGAACTCTGAAATACTATAAGAAGCCCCAAAAATTTAATGCATTTTTATTTATACCACGGCCTCTACTGGTTCTTGGGAATTTACCAGTTCCTCAAGGTGAGACTCATCTCCAAGACGATGACCCAACTGAAGAAGTGCGCCTTCAAGACTCGATGCATCAAATTGAACATTAAAAGCTGCTAAGTCAGCAATGGTAGAGTCCTTATTCATGCGTGGAAGCTTGTAATTATTACTTCCATGCATTTCAATAGACGTTTGCATCACTTTTTGCAACGTTATAAATGTTTTAGATACAGTGTCCATCGGCAATTCAAAGAACGCGGTTTTCACAGCATCAATAAGCTCCTCAATGGTTCGAGTGCATTTTTGATGCTGCAAACTTTGAATAGAGTTAAAGAATCCTAAATCCAAGACATTAAAGTCTGGACTGTTTGGAGGCTGACACATAATACTAATGTTTTCAACACCAGTACTAAGCAGCAACGACGTGGTAACATGTCGATGAGGACTTGCGTTGTCCTGCTGGATACGTACTCCACGCTGTTGATCGCCAACGGGAAATCGCTCGACAATAGCAGGCACGACCTTGTCCAACACGAACGCC